TGGTGGTTTTACACTTTATATATTCACCATTCACCATCAATTATATTTTTATGCTAAATTAACTTGGTTATGAGAGATGATTTTCCTTATCTTCAATTTGAACTTCTTGATTAGGCTAATCCATTTGCAAATCTGCACCGTTTCAGCACCTCGCTGAAACCTTCACAAAGCTTCAGGTCACCCTGGTTCTGGGCACACTCCAGAAACTGTTTCTTCTCATAGTGGCATGGGCCAAACTGCTGCTGCTCCTGGTATTCTGGCTGGGTTCCCTGAGGCTCCTGGTAAGTGATGTCAGGCCTTGAAGGCTCAGCATTGCCTCCTCCACTGAAGCCCGCAGTGATGGCATGACCTATCGTGTGCCCGACAGCAGAGTCCACAGCCACGCCAGCAGCAGTGGTTGCCATCTGGGCCATGAGCCCTGGCTGCCAGGGCACAGCAGCAGGTGAGCCAACAGCAGCTGGTGGAGCCGCTGCCAGAGGCTGAGCTGCTGGCGCTGGTCTAGGTGCCGCTCTCATCTGAGGTGCCCCGCTGGCCGGAGGCGCCATGCGGGAGGTGCGGCTCCGACTTCCACGCAGCATGGTGACTTGCAGAGCAGCTCAGGGTCTAGAAATCCGAGATTCGGCCGAGACCCCAGCGCCTTCTGCCGACTTAGCTTATCTTAAAACAGTATGTCCTTGGGGTGACTGGGTGGTTCAGTCCCTTAAGCTACCAGTTCTTGGTTTCGGCTCAGGTCATGATCTTAGGCTTGTGAGATCGAGCCCTGCATCTGGCTCTGTGCTCAGCAGGGAGTCTGCTTGAGATTCCTTCCCCCTCCCTCTCTTTCTGCCCCTCCACCCCCACACATGCTCTTTCTCTCTCTCTCTCTCTCAAATAAAATAAATAAATAAAATCTAAAAAAAATTAAAACAGTATGTCTTTTACCTTAAAAACTTCTAAATCGGGCACAGGGTTGCTCAATTAAGTAACTGCCTTCAGTTCAGGTCATGATCCTGGGGTCCTGGGATCGAGTTCCACATCGGGCTCCCCCTGCTCTATGGGGAGCCTGCTTCTCCCCCTGCTTGTGCGCTCTCTCTCTCTCTCTCTCTCTGTCAAATAAATAAATAAAATCTTTAAAAAAATTTTAAATTAAAAACGTCTAAATTGTAAGCCCCAAAGTGCCAGTTTTAGGAGAGAGCAAAACACGGATGCTGTCTACTCAGAGGGTACACTCGTCATACATTTTTTTTTTTTTTACATTTAAAACAAATTACAAAGCTGAAATGTTGGGAGTGCAATGTACTGATGTCTAGAACTTACTTTGAAATGCATTTTAAAAGTGGGTTGATGGATGGTTAGATGGTAGATGTGTGATAAAGAAAATAAAGCAAACTATAAACAATCTAGGGCTGTTCACTGTGCTATTCTTCCAACTTTTCTGAAAATTTCATAAAATCAGTCAGCCACATGATAAAATGTTGGGAGAAATTTAAATGTAAGCATATGAAATATTTTAAAGTCTTTTTTTTTTTCTCGGATCTTTCACTTCTCTGTTAAATAGAGCCAAGGAGCAATAACCGAACGTTTACGAAGTTTTAGTATGCATGATCTAACAGCTATCCAAGGCGATGAGCCTGTGGGACAAAGACCATTCCAACCTCTACAAGAAACAAAAAAGAAAAGTAAATCAGTCTCCGGTGAATCAGCAGGTGTGCTTATTTGTTTGATATATTTTTCTTTCACAATTGGAATTTTGAGTCCAGGTGGGTACTAAAATAATACATGGTAACGAATTTTGAGTCCAGGTGGGTACTAAAATAATACATGGTAACTCTGAATCTGAGTAGACACGATTTACACTGATGTTTGTGAATTTACACTTAACTGGAGTTGTGTTTCTCTCAGTTTTCTCTAAAGTTAATGCTTGCCTTTTGTTGACTAGAGATCATCTAACTAAGAAAGTAACAGTAGCCTCTCGTGCCATCATGAGTTTTTAGAAGCCTTCGGTGTGGCCATGCCCACATCCCCACCATTGGCACGAGTGATTAGTCCTCTTTCAACTCAAACTGTGTAGTGACATCTAAGGAGTCACTCTTTACTATTTTTTTTTAAACACTCTTTACTGTAAATGCCATGAACAAATAAGGATATTGACTCAAGATAAAATGTTTGAAGTGGGCGACAAAGGATGACTCCGTTTGTAAATAGGATTACTGCAATAGGAAATATGTTGGAATAACATATTCTCATTCAAGAACTAACTTGTAGGTATTTCTAATGCAAATTAGGAGCATGGCAGAGGTGATATGTTCTAAAACTTCAACAAATTATCTGATCTTAGAAATATACATAGGGCCGCCTGGGTGGCTCAGTCGGTTAAGCGTCTGCCTTCAACTCACGTCATGATCCCAGGGTCCTGGGATCGAGCCCCACGTTGGGCTCCCTGCTCAGTAGGAGCCTGATTCTCCCTCTCCTCCCGGCTTGTGCACTCTCTCACTATCTCTGTCACTATCTGTCTCTCAAATAAATAAATAAAATCTTAAAAAATACATATATACACATAAATAAAAAGTCATGGCTCCTTAGTCATTTTATCACATGTAAGAAAGTTTTAGTTCAAGGCTCAGCTAAAAATTAAGATCTTCACAACATTTCTTATTAATATATTGGTAAGTCCATAAGATACAAGGCTATTCAATTTTTTTTTAAGTAGTTTTCTTTTGAGGGAGGTTAAAAATCGTCCTTTATATTGAAACCAATTTGAGAAGTAAAATAATAGTTCCTTCCTATATAGAAAAAATAATGAACTTTCTTCTGAGTTCTCTCTAGAATGAATAACTTTACAAAGTGGGTGGCTGCTACGTAAGAGGTAGTAATTAAGCATTGGCCATTGATTAAGGTAGTAATATCTTTAAGAATGAGAACCACTGAACTTTGAACCATTATCCTCAATACATTAACGGTATAAAAGTAGTTTCCAATATAGGCATTTTCTTAATATACGTTTAAAAATTAGGTATACTGATTTTGATTATGGGGTCTGCTGTATATATTTTGCTGAATTTGGACCAGTTATCTGAGTCCTTTACCAGCGGTTTATGAGTAATTATACTTTAGAATTGGCTAAGAATGGTATTCTGATATTTAAATGAAAAGATGATTATAAATATGAAAATCCATAGCTATCTTTATGATATTCATCTATTAAACTTAAAATGATGTGACTATTTTAAGATAGTAAGGTGCTATTTAGTTCTTCTGTTAAATTTTAAGCCATGAAAATTAAAATAACTGAAGATTAGAGAGATATGAAGTAAGTAGTAGCAGTACAAAAAAAGGGACTTGTTCAGTTATGAAATTAAAATTTTAATATGCATTACTTTGCCCAAGTTCCAAGTTTCCTACAGAATGGTATATATTCTGAGCTTTTCTTCCCTAAGGAAGAAATTTAACAAAAACATTCTCTCTCAAAAATATTTTTTTTTAAGATTTTATTTATTTGAGAGAGAGAATGAGAGAGAGAGCATGAGAGGGGGGAGGGTCAGAGGGAGAAGCAAACTCCCTGCTGAGCAGGGGGCCCGATGTGGGACTCGATCCCGGGACTCCAGGATCATGACCTGAGCTGAAGGCAGTCACTTAACCAACTGAGCCACCCAGGCGCCCAAAAATATTTTTAAAAAGTAGTAAGGTTCCAGGACAGGAATAGTTGAAGAGAAGATAATTATAGATGGTCTATGTAAACACAAGTCCAGATATACATGGAAGTTTATCGAATGAGGATGATGCCCTTCAGGTCGGTGGGAGAAAGGCAGATAAATAAGGGTATCAGAATAATTGCTAGACTTAGAAGATGGGGTAGGGAATGAAGTTACACCTCTGTCTCAAGCCCTTCATCAAAATACCTAAAAGGTTAAGATGTACATGTAAGACACTGAACCATAATACAGTGGGACATTCCTGACTATATACCCTTAGGATATGCCGGACTTCTTAAGCATGACATCAAAACTAGAAGACATAAAGGAAAACCTTGAGAGATTTTTCTATATAAAAAAAATGTATAACATATAAAGGGAAAATATTCCATGCCGTAAGAAAACAAACTAGGAGAAATATTCTCATCTGATACAGGCAAAGGGCTCAGATTTTAACCATACAAAGAATTCTTACAAGCCAATTATTGTTAAATCTACCAAAGAATACAGCTGACCAATTAATACATGAAAAAGACACTCAGCCTCACAAAGAAACAGTAAATTAAAATGGTAATCATAGTAATTTTTGCTCACCAGATTGGCAAAAGGATTTTTTTAATTAGCACTGTTCTGTGTTGGTAACTATTCTAGTACTCTATTTCTGTATAACGAACTACAAACAGTGGCCTTAAAAAAAGTCACAGTCATTTTATTTTGCTCCTGAATCTGGGGGCGACTGGGCTCAGGCAGGCAGTTGCTGCTCAGGATCTTAATGCAGCCACAGGGAGACAGCACCTAGGGCTGGAGTCATAATGTCAAAGGCTTCTTCACTCACATGGCCGGTATGTTAGCTGTGAAGAGTCACACAGAGGATGGCTCAAAGAGGCGGGGCCTCTCTGGCCTCTCCTTCCCTGCGTCTCTCTATGTGCTGTCTCAGAGCTTTGGGGCTTCTTACCTGGAAGCTAAAAGGTCCCAGAGCCAGTCTTCCAAGAGAAGTGGCAGGAATCAGACAGTATCACTTCTGCCTTAGGGTAGTTTATTAAGACAGGTACCTACACACATCCTCTAGATTTAAGGGAAGAGGAGGGGCGCCTGGCTGGCTCAGTTGGTGGAGCATGCAGCTCTTGATCTCGGGATCGTGAGTTCAAGCCCCATGTTGGATGTAAAAAAAAATGTAAAAAAAAAGATACAAGGGAGGAGGAGAAAAGTGTCAGAATTTGTGGACATGTTCTAAAATCACCACAGCAAGCATGTTGGGAAACACACACTCACTTTTTAAGAGATTTAAGTGGAATAATCCTTTTTTATGATAATCTGGCAATAATTATCAAAATTTATTTCCTTTAACTCAGCAAAAAACTTCTAGGACTATGTCATAGAGAAATAATCAGACAAGTGTTCAAAGATGTATGTACAAGAACGTTCATCTCATTGTTTATAGTAACAAAATTCTGGAACAAACCAAATGCCTAAGAAAAATGGTTAAGCAGAAGCGTGGTTTATTAACCATGAAAATTCATACTGTCAGTCCATACTTGCTGACATGAAAACATATCCAGATCATGGGGAAATAAACAATAACAAAACAATGTGTTATGCTGTGTATAGACACAATAAATAGATGAAATGCATTAATACATTTGAATTTTCAAATGTGTATACATAGGGAAGAGTCTGGAAGGGTATTGCTAAATTATCAACAGTGTTCCAGTTCTGAGTATGGGACTTCAGTGATTTTTTTTTTAATCAACCTATTTTCAAAATCAGAACAGTACTCTTCTTTTTGAAAAATAAGGTACTCATTTTTTTATGTCATGAATTATTTTTTATTTCACTTACTTACAGAATTCCTCAAGAAAAAATAGTAAGTTTTTCAGTGTGGTAATTGCATCCACATTGCAAACTGTTTACTGCTTCATGTGATCAATACATTTACCTCAGATGCTCTGCTTGTTCCCACAAGCAAACTCAAATATCTGGAAATTTGAATCCATTTTGAAAACTCATCATGGCCTGCTCTGAGTGGTTTGAGGTTAAGTAGTCAAGAGAAGTCCTACTTTGATGAAATATTTAAGTCTGCATGTTGTCACTATGGCAAAAAGAGCTCCCTCCAAATCCTTCTTTATAAGAAAATAGGAGCCTTGAACATGATGTTCACATTCCTTGAAAGAACACCACATTGTGATAAGTGGGAATATTTTTTCTGCAAAGATACTGCTGCTCCCATATCACTTAAAAGTGGCCCAATATTCTGTTTCAATACCAGTAAATAAAGAAATAAAGCATATATTTTTTGTTTTGCTTTAGGTGCTTTACATATTTATTTAATCTTTAAGATGACTACACAGTTTAAGTATTTCATTTTTATTTTTTTTAAGATTTTATTTATTTATTTGACAGCACAAGCAGGGGGAGTGGCAGGCAGAGGGAAAGGGAGAAGCAGGCTTCCCGCGGAGCAGGGAGCCCGATGTGATGAGGCTCGATTCCAGGACCTTGAGATCATGACTTGAGCCGAAGGCAGACGCTTAATGACTGAGCCACCCAGGCATCCCTAATTTTTTAGATGATTAAACAGGCATAAGGAGATTAAAATACCTATCAGGGGCTAACTACATAGTCAGTGACAGAAACGAGGTATCCAAGGTTCTCTTTTTCGTTTATAAAAAGGCTACACTTCGTAGTACGGTTGGGCTGGAGCTAGGAATTCCAATAATTTGAGCAGGTAGCAACCTTAGCGATGCTTTAGTCAAAGATGGCGAACGGGTGTCCTGCCTGCTGCCTGCTCGCGTGCCCACGGTGGCAGCCATTGCTGAAGGACTGTGGCACTTTCCCACCCTGGCTCACAGGCCCCCTCAACATAATGCCCCGCACAGCTCGACTGGGTCAGAGTTGGCGTTCATCCTCTCATCTGTCTCACCCCCTTACCGTACGAGAAAACAGGCCTGCAGAGAGGCAAGACTCACTCTGGGTCTCACGGCTCATAGGTGGTCGAGCCCTCCCCTATACTAACATAGGTCCAGGCCTTCTTCCAGGTCAAACTTCCTGTGATTTCACACTTAGATTCATATGTAGAAACCGCTTAAAGCGGTGGGTTGCTAAGTACTGGATTAATGTTGGCTTTTATTATCACTATAAGGGGGGAAACTTAAACTATACCAACTCTAAGATGGAGGAGCTGTGTGAATCCCGGGTCCGTTTCCTAAAGTGGAGCGAGCGCCCAGGGTCATACAGGCTCCCCAGCCTTGGGTCCCCAGTCACTGCTCCTCGGGAATCTGCGTGCGAGGGCTCTGTCCAGTGTAGATCAGTGATGTAAAGCAGTCGACCTGAGCACCACTTTGAATGGCGGCAGCGGCTGCACTTTGCCCGGGCCTGGCAGTCCCGTGGAGCCCTCAGCCCACTCGCCGAGGGCCTGCTCCGGGATGGCACCCAAATCTGGGCTTCCCTCGTCGTCTCGGCTCTCCTTCCTGCCCCCAACACTTCTGAGTCCTTGGACAACTTGGATTAACATTTCCACCACTCACAGCAGAATGTTCATAGGTACTCATTTCCCGGTTCTGAAGTGGAATAGAAGATGCATGTTTTAGTGAAGGTATTTGACTTGACTCCTCTCTTTTTGATTCACAGTTTGGTTGAATAAATTGCTAAGTTAAACTTGTCAGTTTCATCTTCTAATAGATCCCCGATTTGGCTACTGTCTCGGTCTTTGCTCCCTGGACCCCATCATTTCTGACCTGCCATACTGCAGTTAACCTCCCTGCTTCCAGCCTTCATCCACTTAATTCATTCCCCAAAGTGCATTCCAAAAAAGATTCAAAAAGAATCTTTGAAAGACCCCACATGTAATCATGTCACCCTTCTGCTTGAAATGCTTCAGTGGCCCCCCACATTGCTCTCTGATGGAGTTCAACCTCAGGAGCATGTGGTGTATTAGCTCCCCTGCCTTGTTCTCCCACTGCATCATGTGCTAGCTATAGAGAATCATGAGCCTTCAGAGGTTAGCCACCACCTCCTACAAGAAGTCCTCTCTCACAGCCTACTTTCCCCCACCCCCAGGCTGAGTTAATTCTCTCACTGTGGGCTCCCATAGTACCTCATCCTTATCTTCGATTTATAGCATCTGTTGCAGTAATGCCCATTCAAGTCTGTTTCTCCTATTGGACTATAAGTTTCTTTATGTAAAAAAATGACAGTTGTGTCTTTTTCATCATTGTATCCCCCATAATTTAGCACACTGCCAAACACATAGAATCTTTCGAATATTTGTAGAATAATGAATCAATCCATCACTTTCTCTGAAACCATAATTAGAAAGCTAAAAAGATTTATTACCTGAAATTAGGAAACAAAGAAAGAATAAAATATATATATAATCCTCTTTTGAATGAATTTCCAATTCCTAATCATATTCATAAAGTGAGGGGCGATTAAAATAGCAAGGCCATGTTTGTTGACCTGTAGTCTTATGCTTCATCTTTGACCTTAGAGAACTTTCTGGTCACAGTTGCTTCCTTTCTGACTCTTTCCTTGAGTCCTCCTTCTGTGTTTTACCTTAGTTTTATTGGGGTCGGGAATATTGTGGAAGCAACAGCGATAGAGAAAAATCTAGAAGTGCCAACCTAAAAACAATTTTTTTCTGGCTTATTTTCCCCAATTATAAAAATAATACAATTTTTAACTAATAAAACTGGGCAAATTTTTTTAAAGAATAAGAAATTTAAAATCACCTAAAAGCCCACTTTCAAGAGGTCTTATGGTTTCATTGTCGTTTTTCCTCTGTTTCTGTATGTACATTTTTTTTCCACTTAATACTGTATCAGGAGCTTCCTGCCAGGACCACTGACCCAGCCCCTCTCTGGGCCACACTCGCCTTCTTGCAGCAAACAGTGCCGCTCCCCCCTGCCCTAGGCCCCGGCAGGGGCTCTCTCCTACCTAGAACACAATTCCTTGGACTGAGGCAGGAGAACAAAGCATCATGGCCTAAGTTATGACAGATTCTACTCCCAAATCCTTCCAATTTTTAGCCTGGAAGTCTGGCAGCATAAAATTGTACTTGCATAATATATAATTAAAGGTGTGTATCTTATTATGAGACCGAGAAGCTTATTCATAACTCTTCATGGTTTTTTTCGTGAGTCTCAAGTTATTCATGGCCTGGGAGAGCAGATTAATAAACATTTAGTCAGTATGTCTTTCTTCACGTGCAAGGAGTCCATCCCTTGCCCTCTCCTGAACGTGGGAAAACTCCTTTTTTCCTCACCTGAGGATTTAGATATTTATGCTCCTTATCCTTATGAAAGGAAAATTTGAAACCTAATGGGGCCGTGTGACCTAACCTCACCCTCGTCTTTATAACTGACTGCTTATCTTTCTAGCACTCTGGTTTGCTATAGACTTGGGCCCCTGTGTTGCTCCATTCAGATGGGGGCTCTCAAAAATGCAGGCCCTGCACCAGGGCATCAGCATCACCTAGGGACTTGTTAGAGATGTAGATTCTCAGCTCCACCCTCGGCCCAGCAGTCTTTGTATTAGCAAGTTCAATAGGTGACTCTTACTGTGTGCTAATCAGTCTTTACTAATAAACTCTACCAAGCTTGAGAACCACGGCTTTAGGTATGGGAGTGTTCTCATCTGTGAATCCCGGCCCGGCGTCGGAATGCTGTCAGACTCCCTGACAGTAACCAGCCTGACTACCTGGATGTTTGCAGATTGGCCAATGTTAAGTCTTCTGGAGCTACACAGAGCAGCCTGTTAGCATACCCACATGGTCTCGTGCTGCCTTCCTGAGGCTGGCTCTTTCCTTTGACTAACATCTGTCATCGCAGCCCGTGGTGTTTCTAATTACTGCAGGCCGTCCAGCTGGGCTGTATCTCAGCAGCTGCAACAGTGTTGGCTTAACATCTCCATCACCTGCCCCCGGTGAACTTATCTCATCCAAAGTGCCAGCCCCTTCGGGTATTATTTGACTCCTTAATTTCACCCTCCCGTTCCCAATCTCGACAAAAGTTTTGACTCATGGTGGGCAGAAACCCTTCATTTCTCATTAAAGTCAAAGGCACAAATGACAAACACAATAAAACACAAAATTGCTTAGATTGTTGAGAGTTCATGAAGAGCTCTGTCTCAATATATACCTGCTTATATTCTTTGAGTTTCGAACAAGATGTTACCTACTCAAAAATAAGTTATTTTGAATTATTCTGAAAAACGCATAGTAAAAATAGGAGTGGTCAGGGGCAACTTCCTGGAAGCAATGAATGATGAGCTTCATCTAGAATAGTGTGCGGGGCAGAGATTGATGACAAAGGGCAGGGAGCACATTGCAGAGGAGGAAGGGAGAGGAGTGAGGAGGCGCATGCAAACCATGCAGAGAAGTGCACTCAGACGGAGCACTGTCCTTTCACCAAAACATGCTGGTTTTGATGACTCGTTTAGGTTATGGAATTCCACTGAAAGACGGAGATGAGAAAACTGATGAAGAAGCGGAGGGGCCGTATTCAGATGATGAGATGTTAACACACAAAGGGCTTCGAAGATCGCAAAGCATGAAATCTGTGAAAACCGTGAAAGGCCGCAGAGAGGTTAGTCAGGTACAGAGTTGTCTTGCTAATGATTCCTCTTCCTTTCCTTGCTGCATTATCACTCAGGATACTAATGATCCATAAGGGAAGAACAGAGGGGGAGATCAGCAGTTACATTTAAAATTCTTTATTCAGATTGGATATATTAGGATCTCTGGACATTTACAAAATGGTAAATCCCTGCTTCCCCTGTGAGTAGAAAATGGTATTCTCCTAGAGCAAGTCATAGGGTAGTCACGAGCACCCAGTGTCAGCCCTACACGTAAGCAAAGAGAGCAACTAACAAAAATAACTACGTAGTTCTGCTTTGAACCAACCCTGTATGAGGATTAAGTAGAAGTTTATCCATAATAATATATTGTCTTTGCGTCCAGAAAGCAGTGGAGGAATCCAGTCTGCCTCTGGCCTCCGATCATTGGGCACCATTGGCATACCAGGCAGAGCAGAACTAACAACAGTTAATGTTTTTATTTGTTATTAGTGATAATGACTTGCAGCATATATCCAACACAGTGCCAGCTCCGTTTTTGAGTACGTCGGCAGCGATGTCTTCTGAGTTTGGAAGCACATTTCTAGGATAACTGATTCTTTATATTAGAAAAGTCAAAAAATTATTACTATGATTATGAACTATTCAGTTCTATCTAAGTTCAAAAGTAATCATCTGATTTGTAGTAATGACACATTTCTCTCTTCAGGTACGATACGGATCACTAAAATACAAAGTGAAGAAGAGACCACAGGTGTATTTTTAGTCATCTGCACTTCAAGAATCCCAAGACAAATTACACTAATATGTTGCCTTTTTTCTAACATTATTCATTCAGGATTTACACATTAAAATAATACTTTAAATTGTGGCGGTGATCAGGCTTATTTTCATCAATTTAAATAGCTTTTATTTCTTTCACCATTACTTCCATGTCCTGACTACTAAAGGTAGTTATACAAAGCTTATTTATGTATATGTATATATATCTCAGAAATAATAGAAAATTGTGTTATCTGTTTTCAAATTGCTCAACAACATTGAGTGCCTGGGATATTAAGATGAAACACAAACCCACAGTATACTTGAAAAGAGTCTTTACAGTTTAAGATACATCAGCCTTTGCGCTATTGTATTTGTGTTTACCTCCGTTTATATTCTGTCTATCACATGAGGATAGTAATTAAATAGGCCTCTGATCCAGCAGTGATAGGACAGGGGCATAATGTAAGATACAGCATGTTTTATATATTCTTTAAATTTTTACTTTTTTAATACTTTCTGGTTTTTCCACCATCAACTGAAAGTTTTCGAAACAAGTATTTCAAAGCCAGGTCTCCACGTAGCACTTTTTATTCCTGACTAGTTTTGCACACTTGAAAATTGTTTACTTATTTGCGACTGTACATTTAAGTTTTATTAACACTATCTTTATTGTTAATTTGTCACATCCCGACATGTCACATTTATGCCTTGAATTTCGTCATCTCTTTTCCTGTGGGTTTCATTTGTTAAATTCATTAGATTCTAATAATATGAAAATACAGCTCATTGTTCAACTTTAACTATTTTTAACTCTCTCCACTGTGGATGAGAAGCTGTTTTGAACATCAACCAGTTTTCCATACATCATAGTTGAACTTAGCATGTTCTGTTAACACTGGTTACGTTTTCAGCATTTAAAAAGAGCAGTTTTTGTGAAACAGGGTCATGAAGTTACCCAACAGTTGGTCCATTCACAAGCCTAGCACTGATATGTGCTGCTGATTTATAAATCTATATTGACTAGGGCGCCTGGGTGGCTCAGATGGTTAAGCGTCTGCCTTCAGCTCAGGTCATGATCCCAGGGTCCTGGGATCGAGTCCCACATCGGGCTCCCTGCTCCTTGGGAGCCTGCTTCTCCCTCTGCTCTCTCTCTCTCTCTCTCTCCTCCTCTGTCTCTCATGAATAAATAAATAAAATCTTAAAAAAATATATATATAAATCTATATTGACTAGAATCATTTAAATTTCCCGTCTTCTAGCTGAGTTCGTTCCCTGAAGATAGGTCCCAATGCAAAATACAGATGTTAATCTTATGTACTAGAAGCTACTAGAATAGATATTAGAAAAATATTTTTTTAATCCAAGATATTTTGAATTACGGAACATGGAGGCTTTTTTAGGTGGCATTGATAACTATGCATTCTGAAGTCTCTATTTCTGGTGGTGGTTTTAATGATCCGTAGTCAAATTTGTACAGTTAATTCAGATAATTTACTTTGACTGTTCTGTTTGTCAAAAAGAAAAAGCAGTGAGCGAGATTTATGAGATCTTTGACTTCTCTACCTTTTTAAGAAACGAAACCAGCTGGCAATGTATATTCAGGACCTCCTCAGAATGTTGGCAGAGAACAGAATGTTTATTTAAGAGTACCTTAGTTTAATTAATACATTGCTCTTGATACAAGTCTCAAAACATTTTCTGGACTATCTCACATTCTTAATACATAACATCAAAAAATTCGCTCAACTTCTTGTCTCCAAAAGTTTAATTCTATGAATATCTTCATCTACTTTACGTTGACTAATTTGTAGCCTTTGAGTTTCAAGAAAAACTCTTTTGTGTTCAAAATTCCTAGGGATTCTGATTATAAATGCTTGGAAGGGAGTTTTATTTATATTGCCTCGTACCAGACTTATTAATACAAATGCTACACCGTATGTGTCTTTCCTGCCCAAAGGCAGTGTCATCTCAAGTAGCCTGGCAAAGTCATGTGACTCTATCTAAAAACATTACCTGTGCAGGCTGTTCTGCTCCATTTTATCTTTTCTAAGTCTGATCTGAGTATTAAACCTATTCCTTAATTATAGTAAATTCATAAATACTGTTCTAAATTGGAGGCATTATCTATCCCTCTCCACAAATAAGACACCACAGGTCGCAAAGGGGTAATGCATGTCCTTCTTTCTCATTACATCTCTCCACATGCACACGGTGCTTCCTCTGATCTGTTTCTACTGTTATATCCTTATACACAGTGGATGTCACTTTGCTGTTCCATCATTCCTTTCTTTCCTTTCCTTACATTTCTGACATTTTGCTGCTTTTCTCTTGTGTGTGTTTTAGCATGCCCTTTCCTTGGAACTTTGTGTGATAAGCTTATAAATCTTTGTCTCTTTTAAGGTGGAACAGGTCAGTTTTTGTTTCTCTGCTTTTGAGTCCACTGCTTTTAAAAGAGGTAAATTTCTCTCTCGACCACAGTGCCTTGTTTTCCCAACGCCACCATTTGGTGAAGGGGCATCAGATGCTGCACAAGCCTATTTAAGGCGATATAATGGTAGCTGTTAAAGTTTATGCAGAAATTGTAGCCGGTGTTTTGTTTTATTATATATTCGTTCAGCTTGTGCATTAATATTAACTGTTTCCCGAGTTTGTTTGGAAGTGACAGTTGATCTATTCTTTAGTTTACCATGTTTTTTCTGGGATAAAAAAACGAACCAGAAGTAACTCTTATTGCTAAGTAGTTAATTATGTAAACCCACATAGGTCCCGCACAAGATTCCCTCCACACAGTTCACTCTATGTATGTGGATTTGGCTAGAAAGTGGTAACTGCCAGCATTACTGATTATAAATACTTGACTACACAGATTGATGGAACAAAATTATTAACGTGTTTTCAGGGAATTGAATCCATATGTCACCACCAAAGATTCCTACAGTGTTATAAAATATGTAAATATTCCAAATTTCTGTAAAACACTGGTTAGATAAATATGTCTTCTTTCGTTTCCTTTTTTGAAATAACAGTTTGAGCTTCTGTAATACTTGAACTTTTGTGTTAAAAATAATCCAATGCTATTTCCTGTTAAATATGAGTAATTTGTATGTTTAATTGGAATGGACTAAATTTTTATTTTGGTTTTCTTTTATCAGGAAAATTAAAGAGTTAATATGTATCGACAAGCAGTTTCCTACGTGTTCCTATAGGCCGATTCATTTGCAAAGCAATTAGGCAATTTTGAGATCATTGTTACTGTGGTATGCAGTGTATATTTCTTAGTAAACATCATTTAAGAGTAAAACTTTCCAAAAGAAAAATACAGCTTTTTCCTCTAAATGGTTAAAGATTTAATCTTCTAGTAGTATCCTACAGATTTGTTGTATATTAACTTTTTAAAAATTGACCATGAATTAACATTTTCTCCTCTAACACCTCTTAAATCTGTGTACTTTCATAGTTCAGAGAAAGCTGTTTTGTAATTTTTTAAACTCTTTGTAAAGGCTCTCTTGAGGCCTAGTATGGGGGTAATTTTACAAATGTGTTTTTTGAAAACTTTAATATAAAATAAACTCATTTTATTAGTGACAACTTGTATTTTTGTGTGTCAGAGGTCAGAGTACCTATGTTGGGTTCTATAAATTTATATTATTTATTATGGAGTATGTATATAGTATTATGTACATATTACATAATAGATAACATATCCACACACTTAAGATTCCAAATCACAGAGCAAATTATTAAAAAATCATATACATTCTGGAATGGTCATAGAATTACAAAAGAAACACTGAATTGTCAAATTTGGATGTTGGAATGGGAAGATATAAAAAAAATTAGTACAGAAACCCTAGCCATCAATTTGTATTGGTTAGCTGTCTCAGACATAAAATATAACACAGAATTCAGTTTTATGTATCCTGGGAATGTTCTGGGGTCCCATCTGTTTTAAAGTCAGACGTCTGTCTGCCTCACATTTAAGTTTTAGAGAGAAATCCTATGTTTAAAAAAGTTTTTTTGTGTTACTTCATTATGCTATATAATGTGTTAAAGTATTTCCAAATGGAGTTATGTTTTCATCTTTATTAGGAGGTATATCCTTGTGATGATCCAAAGAAGTTAGAAACCTAAATAAAAATTCAAAAGCACACAATGGATATATGAATTGCAGCATTTTCCCCAGTGTTTTATTCTCCCTTTAAGTGGTTCATCGTTCTTAAGAAATAGATTCATGGAACAAAAATCTTGTCATAGACCGATCCATTGTTCCATGGAAAACATTCCCTCCCTTTTACCTCTCCATCAGTATTCTAGCCTTGAAACACTCTCCTTAGGGTCTGGTTTTGGTAGTGTTTTTTAAATTGCTTTTTATAAGATAATGCTTTGAACTGAAATTTTATTTTTTTTTAAGATTTTTTATTTATTTATTAGAGAGAGAATGGTAGAGAGAGAGCATGAGAGGGAAGGAGGTCAGAGGGAGAGGCAGACTCCCTGCTGAGCAGGGAGCCAATGCGGGACTCGATCCTGGGACTCCAAGGATCATGACCTGAGCCGAAGGCAGTCGCTTAACCAACTGAGCCACCCAGGCACCCTGAACTGAAATTTTAAAGCACAAGATTGATAACTGTCTATGTGTGTAGGATACTAAAAGACTGCTGGGCAGAAGCAGGAAAATCTCCAAGCTTAGCCTTAGTTCATCTGGCAAACCCAGATTAAAGGCAAAAGGGAAAGAAAATACGGTATTTTGGCATCGTGTGCAAATCAGAGTAGCATCAATTATTTTCATGTAGAAATACTCCTTGAGTGCCTGCTGTATAGAGCAACAATGCCTGGATTCAAGTGGGATAGCATAACAAAAAGCAATAATTCTTGCTTTTTAAAAAAAAAAATGGATTATTTGAGGTGGATTTATGCTGGGATTTCTTCTAGGTTATTGAATAATTTATTTGGTCTGTCTCAGAGCAGGTTTTTTGTTTGCTTATTTGTTTGGGTTATCATCCTTGGTTCCTTCTCTTCCTTACTTCTTACATCCAATACAGTCCTAAGCGCTTTTGACTCTGTCCAAAACATACAGGCAGACTGTGGAGAAATTGCCGGTTAGGTTCCAGACCACTGCAATGAAGCAAGTATTGCAATAAAGCAAAGCAGATGAATGTGTTAGACTATATTTACCTTCTACTGTAGTCCATTAAATGTGCAACAGCATTATGTCTAAAAAAAAATGTACATGCTTTAATTAAAAAACATTGCTTAAAAATGCTAGTCATTAATCACTGATCACAGATCTCCATAACAAATATAGTAATGGTGGAAGAGTTTGAAATATCGCAAGAATCACCAAAATCTAACACAAAAACACAAAGTTGAGCAAATGCTGTTGGAAAAATGGTGCGAATACACTTACTCAATGCAGGGTTACCACAACTAATTTGTAAAAAATGTAGTATCTGCAAAGCTCAATATTAAGTGAAGCACAATAAAATGAGGTATGCCCAAATCCTGAATTTGACTATTAAACTCACTTCCCCTCCAACTTTCACCTGGAATACTCAGAGCATAACCTTTATTTAAGGCAGAAGTTCTTGAGACCTTACAACATTTTTTGTAGCCTTACAAATGTTGCAAGGTGACTCAACCTTGAGTCCCATAGAACTGTCACAGCTTCTTCTCTTTTCAACCGGTGTCTTCAGGAAATACAAAAAGAGAAGGTTGTGAAGACAGCAGGGAGAAGAAAAGGGGCAGATGGTCTTGCACATCAGCCTTGGGAGAGAAATTTTTCTCTTCCCAGCATTGTTTAATGCTGAATTTGGGAAGAAAGTGAGTGAGAATAGTTGATGGAGCCAGGTAAGAGTATCTGGCTGAATTATAATGTGTTTTGACATGACACTATCTCAAAGTGTTGAGAAAGAATTGGGGATAATAGGCGGAGATTTTTTTCCCCTTCAGAATTTTTAAGTTACCCTAGTTTGAGTGTTAACAACAGATCATGGTAGTGGCAAGAATCAACAG